GATCCATGAGCTGTATTTCCATGCACATACAATCCATTAATTGCATATATTTTTTCTCATTCCGTTCTTTACGAGAGGTGGGAACCAGATTTCTTAAAATCCATAATTGAAAAAAAAAAAAAAGTAATACATGTGCAAAGTGATATTATAGTCATTTATGAACAATTCATAACCAAGAAACTTGTATATCATTATTAGTCAAACCTCTACTATCTTTGAGGACTTTACTCCAAAATCTGTATGTCTACAAAACCAAGATTTTACCTTTTCGGGACTCAAGTTTATTTAAATCTTGCGACGAAGTACTAAAAGTCCTAAACTTCAAAGATAAAAAATTATAGAATGTAGATGAGCCATCTCAAGACGAGCTTTAAACAGTTCAAGCTTTGCTTAGAATCATTAGCAAGTCTTACAAAATATCAAGCTTGGCATGTGCTCTTTGAATAAGTAGCTTTTGTTCAATTGAATTCAATATACTGCATTAGTTTAAGTGTCATTTGACACATTTTTTAGCTTGATATCCCAAGTTTTACCAAAACTGAATTTAGATTGCTTTTAGGAAATGGTCTTTGTGTGGTTTCAGTTGATAATATTTTAACAAACATTTTAAATTTCAAATATCCTTAATTTCCTTTGCCTCGTCCATCGAATGTTGATCTTTGCTTATGACCTTCACTTTCTACGGGCTTTTAAGATTTGAACCAGAATCCTGATTGACAGATAAGTCTCCTATCATGGGCACAGAAGAGAAAGATCCATTGAAAGAAATTGATTGGAAAGATATTGGTGACTCAACAACCAGAGATTTTGAGGCTGGACGTGTTGTGAATAAACGGCTACCAAAAAAGATAAGGCAAATACCGGATTATTATTTCCTTTCCCGAAGAGCTTTATCATCTTCCGTTGCTTTTTATGGAGCATGGATAGTTGCTGGAGTTGGTGCCGGCATGCTGATTGAAACCTGGATAAATAAAAAAATTAAAGGTACGTCATTTACTCTTAAACTATTTTAGTTTCACTTTTTTGAAGCTCCCTTCTACAGATACCCGGTTAGAATTTCCCATCTAGCATCGACGAGTACAATCTAAATTAATAATTATATCTACTTAGTGATTCATAATACCGCAAGTCGCTGTAGCTTAGTTTTTTCTTGTCCAGCTGCAGCATTTATCCTCCTATATGCATCCAGTGTACATGCGATGATTTAATTTTAGGAGTTAATGTTCATTTTTTCACTGATCTGTAGAGGATGGAGGTGTGATCTGGGAGTTTGACAATAGAGGGCAGATAGTTTTGATAACGTCATGGTTTTGACAGTACAATGATGATATATGCTACAGTTCGTAATGCTTGTAAGGCAAATATGTGGTTCTGTTTTCGACCTTCTGGGTAGTTTTGATTTATTTTCTGTCATTAAGATGGTATCTTTGCGATAGTCTATGTTCATATCTGTTGGGTATTGACAATTTGTTGTCAATCAAATTAAATATTGTAATTGTGGTTTCTAAATGTAAGTCTAGTTTGATTGAAAGCCAACTAAGACATGTGATTAAAATATTAGGCAAGTTGTCCTTAAATTAAGGGGAGTAGCAAGTGGGCTGTCATGTATGACTTAGTGTAGTAAGTAGTATGGTA